GTTCTTGTTTAAGAGTGGCTGGAGTGGAGAGCCTCTTAAGCTATAAACTGGCCTCCAGCCAGACCTGCAGCTCATTCTCCCTGTTAAAGACGTCATCATTTTTACAGCAGACATTTTAATGAGTCACAATTAAAACAACATTCATTATTGGCTGCATTTCACGAAGGAAAGGTTTTGTTACAAAACTTCACTGCCATGATTACTTATTGTAACTTAATGGAAGACCGCTAATAGTTCTATTTCATATAGGCTTCGCCCTTTAAGGCTGTCGCTAGTGGGTTTATCCCTTTGTGCAGCACAGCACTGAAAACTTTAGTCCGCGCCCACCGACTGTGTGGGCCCGACCCCCGGTCCGTATAAATTACGATAAACATATTAATCTCTAAAACTAAACTTAATGCGCACCACAGCTGGCGGTGGTGCGGGGTGGTCGACCCCCCACACACACACACACTGTTTTTAGTTTTGTTTCTGACGTGCTGCACGTTTCTTCACTTTTGCAGTTTAATAATAATAATAACTAATAGTTTAGTTTTTTCCTGTGACCTATTTGCAGTATGATAAATGGTAGGAGCATAATATACTCCCAATGTTTTGTTGGTCTTTTTATTTAAATAATGACCTTTTTTGCAGTTTTATTTATTTATTTATTTTTGTATCTTTAGATCCTATGATGTCATCAAGTACTCGAGTTCTACTCGAGTTTTATTATGTTAATGTCGAGTTTAAAAATTATGTAGTCGTTCAACCCCTAACCAGTAGGTACTCTCAGGTCCAATATGTCACTTTTTCTATACTTCTATTTTTGAATGTGTTGGTTTGATTGAGGTGGAAGAGAATTTGGAGAGGTGGAGGTATGCACTTGAAAGAAGAGGAATGAAAGTCAGCCGTAGGAAGACAGAGTATGTGTGTGAATGAGAGGGAGGAGGTGGAACAGTGAAGCTACAAGGAGCAGAGGTCACAAAGGTGCAGGACTTCAAGTACTTGGGGTCCACTGCCCAGGAAAATGAGGGGTGTGGTAAAAAGATGAAGAAGAGAGTCCAGACAGGGTGGAGTGGATGGAGAAAAGTTTCAAGAGTGATTTGTGACAAAAAGGTGTCAGCAAAGGTCAAAGGAAAAGTTTACAAGACAGTGGTGAGACCAGCTATGACGTATGGTCTGGAGACAGAGACATGGACAAAAAGACAGGAGACAGAACTGGAAGTGGCAGAAATGAAGATGTTGAGGTTCTCCTTAGGAGAGACAAGGATGGAGAAGATCAGAAATGAGATCATCAGAGATACAGCACAGGTTGAACAACTGGGAGATAAAGTTAGAGAGGCCAGACTGAGATGGTTTGGACATGTCCAGAGGAGGGACAGTGGTTTGGACATGTCCAGAGGAGGGACAGTGGGTATACTGGTAGAAGGATGTTGGAATGCAGCTGCCAGGAAAAAGACAAAGAGGAGATATATGGATGCAGTTAGAGAGGACGTGGAGGTAGTTGGAGTGAGGACAGAGGATGCAGAGGACGGAGTGAAATGGAGGAGGATGACTCACTGTGGCGACCCCGAAGAGGGAAAAGCCAAAAGAAGAAGAAGTGATCGGTTTGATTGTCAAGTTAACAAACTGGTTATGCTGTTGGGTTCTTTCTTTGCCCAGTTATATTTAACCCTACTTCTGCTTTGTGCCAAACCGACTGGTGACTTTGGGAGCTGGCAAAGGGTTACGTGACCTGTATTTACTGTGTCATAATTTTATTTTGAAGGCTTTTTTATGTGTGGTAACGACCAAATCAAGGAGATCAATAATGCATTTTCTCCATATCATGATTTCTTTTTTCAGTTTTTGTCTTGAGCTCGTGAATATGTGAGTTTATGCAGAGTAGAACTATAACAACAACGTTAATTTTGTTATCAAATAAAAAATTAAATGTGCAACTTGGTACTAAATAATTTAGTAACTCTAATGACGGATCTGTTTTTTGTTATTTTCATGTTACAGGTGCTTGACGATCCGTCAGAGGACAACCTGTACATGGGTACGCATGTTTTCTTTGCTCACATCCTTTTTGTCTTTCTCTCAGCCGGTGGCACCTAACATCTGTTTATGTAACAAAAGTTATTCAGAAGTCCGCTGCTTTCCTTCGCGCCACCTCAGGCCTCGCGCATTAATCGGGACTCTCGTTTTCACAGTATTTCTGTTTTATGAGGTCATCTTGTACTTTAGATGATGACTAATATGAGGTTTATGTGTAACCTCACAGGCAGCAGTGGTCACAATGAACTAATGAATAAAATAGTCTTTTTTTTTTTTTTTGCTTTTCGCTTCCATTTTTCCTGACAGTGTTTGAGCTGATGCGTAAGGGGTGAGTAAGCATGTCCTTTTATTTTTAATGCATTAAGCCTCATTTCTTTTGCTCCCTCTCAACCTTCCTCCTCATTTATTCTTACTTCTGTGATTCTGACCTCAGTCTTCTCCTCCACTTCTCCAAGCTGTGTTTGTTCCTTCTCGGGCTTCAAAGGGAGACGTAACGTTCTTAGCTTGTCACAGTTATTACTGCAAGTGCTTCAGGTCCTGGTGCTTGAGCTGTTCCTTCCTACACCACAAATGTTTTTGATGATTTGTTTTTCGGAGACCGTTTGCTGTGATTGTTGGGAGTTGTGGAGGTGGTGTTAGTCACATATGTGCATACATAAGTCAGATCCTTGTTTTTATTGAAATCTAAAAGAAGCTCAGTAAATGATTATCTGTCCAGTGTGAGGAAGTGCTCACCATCCTGCCGCCTCAGGAACAAAGATGGATGAGTTTGTTAATCAAGCTGTTTTTGAAGCAGACTGCTGCTCTGCTGTATCATCAAACATTCAGAGATCCATCTGATCGCAAGTGGATCAATACGTGTGTTCACACCTGATGATGAAATTGTCCCCCACGTGCACGACCGCTTCTGATCCGTCACCCACTGGATACGCGTAAACGGCAGCAGCTGTCAGCTGAGCAACACTCAGGACTTCAGCTGTTCCCTGCTGCTGGAAAATCACAATCAGCTCAGTCGTTGTTCAGACATGAACACGCTTCTGATTTGCATTAGTCACATTTATTTATTTTACAGAAGCCTGTCCGTAAGATCGGTAGTGACTCGATATTACAGTGGCGGTGTAACCACTGATAAAGACGCTCTGCTGTGTTTATCTCTCGTAGAACTCGGTCTGACGGTTTCTACAAATTTTCACTGTTTACACACGTCTTGTGTAGAAGTAGGTCACATGCAACACATTGCTGGAAAGCTGAAGTATTTGATCATAGCAAGTACAAGTGATGGGGGGGAAAAAAAGCGAAACATTCAGGACATTTTTATATCCATTTTATATCCAACTCAACTCTTACAGATTTCAGGTCTCCAGGCCACATTTACGTTACAAAATAACGTAAAGTTTCGGACACCGCCTCAGATTTTGTTCAGAATATCTAAAACTGAGCTCAGTTCATCCTGTGAATGATAACTTTCTGTTTTTAGCTCTGTTCATTGTGATTCGATCACTCGGGACCCACGTCAGCCCTGCCACAGCTGCTGAAAACACGTCACACACATTTACACCTCTGCCGCCACAGCAGC